AACTGTGATCATTGAGAGTGGTCAAGGGTAGAGTTATTTGCGAAGATGACGAAAACACCCCGGGTATGGGGAGATACTCTAGTTATGTCATGTGTTTTTATAATGTTTGCAAAAACTTTTTGGGTTGTTGTCCACGATGTTGAAAATGGTTCGCGGAGATGAGAAATGGGGAGGACTTTTGATTGATTCTGAAATGTTGTGACGCTATTCGTTATAGATGGTTGATATATATAGAATTGTTTAGTGTTAAGGATTATACATGAGCTTGAATTATTTGTGGAGGATGTGTCTTGCTAATTTTTTATTTTATTTCTGCTATGGATAAATTGTTTTGGGGAAGGTTGGTTGAGTTTCGATTTTTATATGTATGATAAATGATGCACTAATTTAAAGGGAGGTGTAGTTTAATTTTTGGTTCGCTTTAATTATTGATTCTGGTGCGTTCAGTTTCAATTACTATCATCTTGTGGATTATAATAAGTTAATTTTTGTGATTTGGATGATTAGAGGTCTAAGTAAGTTGTTGTAATGCTAACTTGATTTAAAAGTTATTTTTTTAGTACTCTAGCTATTGCAATAAATTAATTGGAAGTGTTATGGACTTTATTTAATTGTATTTAGTGGTGTTGGAAATTTAGAGTATTGTGTTGAGTTTGGAACATCTGAAACTTATTATGTCCACTTAATTATGATAAATATTACTGAATTAAGTACTTTTGTATTCTGATTGTTCTAATGCATGATAAAATATACGTAGAAACTTCTTAGATAGAAGAATTGAAATGTAATACAAGTTCTAGAATATTATAAAAAACCCTAAGATAGGAAGAAAAAATCAAGAAAGTTCTTCATGGGTAGAAAGTCTAGAACTTTCTACTTAAGTTCTAGCTAGAAATTTCTAGAATAGTCATGAAAGAGACATGGAGTCTATAAATATCCATGTATACTATTATTTAAAGTAAGAAACTAACATCTACAACAACTAAGACAACTACAACACTTCTTCCAACTATTACTTCAACATTTTCTCTACATTCCACTATATCTACATTTTCTCTACACCATCAACTATTCATTTCACAACCTCAAAATACTAACAATGATACCAAAGCTACGTTTGATCATCTACTGGCGTAGATAAAATTTTCAACTACTTTAAAACAATAACTCATTTTATACTACTTCCAACATATTTTCTCAACTCATGGCTGCTACCAATCAAACATCATCAATTCCAGTACCTATTTTTACAGGAGAATTATGATTTCTGGAGTGTCAAAATGAAGACATTCTTCTGCTATCAAGATTTATGGGATATTATAGAAGAGGGGTTCACTATTCCAGAAGACACTTCCACTCTTACTGTAGCTCAAAAGAAGGAGTTGAAGGAAAACAAGCAGAAGGATTCAAAGGTTTTATTTGCTCTTCAACAAGGAATTGATGGCACAATTTTTTCAAGGATAATTGGTGCCAAAAGTACAAAGCAAGCTTGGAACATAATACAAGAGGAGTTTCAAGGAACTGATGAGGTATTCAATGTTGAACTTCATTCTCTAAGACGAGAGTTTGAATAAATAAGAATGAAGGATTTTGAGACCATTAAAGAGTACTATTCTAGAGTGTGTGCGCCAATACCTCAAATAACAAAGCACCCCTGGGACATCCCTCCTTAATCACTCACCTTTGCAAGATAGCTAGGATGGACACTTCTGCTCCACCATTTGAAAGGCCAAGAAAAGCCATTGATGAGGCTTATTACAGACATTACTGTGGAGGTGAGGAGGCAGCTCAGCCAGCTCCACCACGCCGTGCTCGCAGAGAGAGAGGGCCAGCACAGAGCCAGACATCTGCTGAAACACATGAAGCAGAACCATTCCAAATGAAGGACATGTACATGTCTCTTATAGGTGCTCAGTTACAGTCCATTCATAGAGGGCAGGTGGCTACTACTGAGATGATTGTGGGGATGTATGATACACCTCCAGCTCACAGGTGGACTATGGATAAATTCCATAATGTGGTAGCTTGGCCAGAGTAGCCAGTGCAGGGAGGAGGAGCTGAAGCTTCAGTTAGAGAGATGGAAGAAGATGAAGCTGAGGATGATGATGCATTTGAAGATGATGAAGATGAGGAAGAAGAGAAAGATACAGAGGACAGCTCAGATTGATGAGGAGCTGAGATAGCATTTAGTGATGAATGCTATCATGAACTTATGCTTTTGTTGGTTTAAATGTTCTGAACTTAATTATTTTTGGTTTTAGATTAGGGTTTGATGTTCTCTATTGGAAACCTGGTTTGTTGTGATGGTTTGCTATTGACTATGATTTTGTGATAAGTAATGCTTGATGATAATTTGAGATTGATTGATGTTGAGATGATGTGCACATTAAATGCTTATACAGGTGATTCACAAGCTTTGTGAACAATACAAGATATTATGATTGTGGATTGTGAGATTAACAGGATGTGTATGTCAAATGTAATTGAGCTTATATTGAGTTTTTGAGCCAAGTTGTTTAATGTGAATGCTATACTTTGAAAGCATAATATTTTGCCTAGGTTTTCTATGATTGAATCAATTGCTTGTTTGCATCATATGATCAAGGCCGTTTGTTGGACCCCTTTATTGGCCAAATTCATAAAGTTAGGCCCACTAAAGAGAACACTTTGTTTCTATCCTTTGAACCCTTAAGCATTGAACATCAATTAAACCCTTGTTGAAAACTTTACCTTGAGTTAAGTAGAAGATCTTGTGTGGTATTGGTTAATGTTCAAGTTGGGGTTGTTGGGAAAACATGAAAAAGTAAAAGCATTGAGCTAAGAATATGCAAAGAAAAAGAGAAAGAAAAGAAAAAGCAAAGCTTAATGCAAAAGAAAGTTGCGAAAAATAAGAATAATTGTTTTGTTATGAAGCCCTTGGCAACTTCATCTTTAACTTCCTGTAACTCTTCCTTCATTTTTCCTTTCTTTTCTCTCCAGCAAGTTGAGAAACACTGTCATTCGAAGACGATAACTCCCATTCAAGAGATTTTACAATGGCTTAGGATTCAGCTACTTTAATTTCAAGTATTCTGGCATTCTCCTTCACTACCTGCAACTCTTGCTCTATGTGTACCTTGGCATCTTAGCATTCACTGAGATAATCAGCAAGCCACTTCACCTTGACATCATAGCATTCACAGCAGATTCTTGCTTTTACAAAGAAAGGTGCAAGTGTTCATAAGAAAGGAAGTTTTTACTGAATCTTCCCACTAACCATGTACATTAATGCATATATTGTCTTACATGTTTTGTATCAAGCATTTAGAAGGACCAACAAATTCTAAAAAGATAGCTAGGTGGAGATGTTAAGCATCTAATTAAGAGTTTGATCATGTCTAATGCATAATATTTACTTCTTAATCTAGTAATCAAGTTAAAGAATATTCTTGGTGTATAAAAAAAAAATATATATATATATATATATATTATATATATATGTATATATACACATATATGTATATCTATATAGACATATATATATAATATATGTATATATACACATATATGTATATATGTATATATACACATATATGTATATATGTAATATACATATATATATATATATATATATATGATCAAGAATTAATCTACTTATGCTGGGACATAATTCTCCTCCGGGTTTCAGGTTACTTATGGCACCGCAACTTTGGATATGTATTGGGTCGACAACAGACTATAAAAAATAATTTGCTTCCCGCTTGGTAGGTAGCTATCTTGCGCACTATGTCACGCACGGGCTAAATTAACCTACCTGCAGAAAACTGTTCCTTTTTATAGCTTTGGTGCTTCTTTCCAGTTGCTGCTATACACACTGACAATCATTATGAACACTTGCATCTTTGGCTTAATTGAAAGTCCTTTTTTCCCACAATCAGAAATCTCATTCCTAATCAGAAAAGTAGTGAATTTTTGTTCATCCTCTTTATAAAGTTTTAGGTGTCCATAACTATCTTTTAGTTCAACTCATAATGCAATAGTAGGTTTCTTATTCTTCTGCACAGTAGCTAGATTTTTCATGTTACTCAATTTGCATTCCATACAGAGGTTAATATTGCATTTACATCTGCAATTATAGTTTTAGACTTTATATCTGATATTCGCTTTTGCATCCTAGAATAGGCTATCATGCATTTAATTTTCATTGCTGCGTACTTATTTTCAACTACCTATATTGTATTTTCGTTCCATTTATCATTTAATAGCCTTAGCTCTACAGTTCATAGCACATTTCATTTTTCAGTTTACTTGTTGATGATGTGTAGAGATTGTATCATATCCACCACCGGTGTATCTGTAAGTCTTGGACAAGGCACGAGCCATATTATCAGTTCTCACCTGCAATTTATTTTAAACTTTAGCCTTTAGTTTAAAAAAATGAATGAATCGAAGACACAAAAAACGAAGCATTCAACAGCGCTTCCCCCAACATGAAACGATTCATGTGCGCCTGAAAACTCTGGCGGTTACTCTGAATATAAACTCTTGCATAGAATCATGGGATGAAATTGGTCAAAGTGGTTGCTTGAAATCATGAAACCATCCTTCCCCCCAATATATTAGTCACCTAGATAAGATTAACAAAAGTATGGGAGCTTTATTAGAATCTATATTTTAGACTACATCACAAGAAAGGAACTCATTCATTCTACTGGCATAGAGCTTTTACTTTTCAAATTTCTTCAACAGGCAAATGGGGACTTTGATATTATTAGAATCAAACCAATATCACTCATATCTTTGATATATATCAAATCATATATTCAAATTGTGAATCTTAACTGTAACGAAAGGTAAAAAATAACAATTGTCCAGATTTGCATCTATCTTTGAAACAATTTAAACAGAACATATAAACAACTATTAAAATTCTGGCATAACTTACTAAAGTTGAATAAAATGCACAGCACGTTAAAAAAAGAATATATCACACACAATAATAACACCGAGAATCTACCTTCTCAAACTTTGAAAGCTTGTCCGCCATTAGGTCTTGCCTTGGAGAACACCAAAATTCCATCATTGATTTAGGAAACAATCTCATTGTCAGTGAGGCTGCTCTTAGTTCCAACAGGCTCTGGGATGAAATGGTCCAAACGTTTGCGAGCAAAATTTCAACAATATAAAACATAAATTATTCTTCAAAAGAACCAGAAAACAATAGTCAAATGTGGAAGGCCTTATAGTCATCCAAATGAATCCGTCAACGCTAATAACATATGTGAAAAAAAGAAAATTCCTTTTAAAGGTTAAAAAGCTTGAGGATGAAAACAACTTGATCAAAATGTCACATTTAAATTTGTGAAAGTCAAACAAACTGAAAGTAAATAACCAAAGTTCAGAAATCAAATAAAAAAGCTAACCTATAAAATTATAAGCACATAACAAAATCAATAAAATTAGGAAAGTTTAATTACATAGTGAGAAAATAATATATATATATATATATATATATATATATATATTATATATATATCTATATATAAGCATAATAAATCAGTTAGGTTGAAGATGCCAAATCAAAACAGTTAGTATAAGAATAAATTCTCATAGATAGATAATGTACAATTGTCATATTACAGTTATATATATATGAATGAATGCACACATTGATTCATAAGAATGAATGCGCACATTGATTCATAAGAATGAATGCGCATCAAAGCAACACCAACAGATATGATCTCTTTGAGAAATTAACGTATGTACAAAACAACTACCAAAACCAAATTAACATAACAAAAGAAGAAAACCATACCCTCGTACGCTCGAAGAGAATGGAAGGTTGCTTGCCACCGCCAAATTTAGCGGGCTCGGGGTAGAGGAGGCTTATCCTTCTTCAAAGGCTGCAACCGATAACCAATATATTCAATCACAATTCACATGGATTGGAAAACGAAAGGATAATGATTTCAGAGATTTTAATACTTCTGATTGAAACATAGAATCAACTTGAAAAATTGAAAAGCCAATAACTTCTTACAATAAAACAGAGTAGTACAACACCAGAGCAAGATCCATTGCGATGATTCTACTACTTTTGATTAAAGATTTATGTATTATTCTGAAACTTTCAGATGAGACTTACCATGACAATCGAATAACTTCAGATCCACCACATTTGCAGCATGGATTGACGATTATGCAAATATTGAATTGCATCTAGAGATCAAGGACAGTTACCTCTCAGAATGTTTTTCCTATAATCCTTCAAAATTAAAAAGGGAGAACAACAAAGATCAAATTAGATCCATCCATACAAACTATAGCCGTATTGGCTTCTAACCTATATAAGAAATTTGATTTTCATGTCATAGTAAATTAATAGTCACTGGCAAAAGTATTAAAGAAACAACATTTTCAACTAAGAACCACGAACCAAATAGAAGATAGATAGAGATAATAATTCATTCTTTGGGGAACAAACTCCAGCGATGCCTCATGGAAGTAGAGTGAACCCCCAGAGCGTCCGCGTACGAAAAGGAAAATCAATGATTCCTTCCGCAATGGTTTGGAGACGTCGACATGGATGAAGAGTTGATCCATGGCAGAATCCTCATCCTTTGACGCCGACAACCGCATGACCTAGACGCTTACCCCTTCCTCGCCGTAGCTGCGTTTCAGAATCGGACCTTGTGAGTTTAGAGTAGCTATGTCTAGACCTAGAGTAAAACCCTAACAGACAAAGAGAGTGAGAGAGAGCTTAGCGACTTCGGTCCTTGACTGAGCGGAGAAGCATCGAGTTCACAGCGGGGCAGATGCCGCCACCTTTCAATGAAAAAGGCCGCCAGAGAGCATCCACAACGCCCAACAACGCTCACTTCCACCAACGACGAAAATGGCAACATTGATAGAATAGTTTCCAGGGTTTGCGAAGAGAGAAGGGGGTTGGAAGTGAAGAAGGAAATATCTGAAGGGTTCGAGAAATTAAAACAAAAAACAATTCACTTAGGAACGGTTTATTTAGAAATAGCCGAAAATCCTTTTAAAAAACATAAAAATAAGAACTTTTATTTGCGATTTTGTTGAAACCGCCAGAAAGTTATGGAGGTTTTTAAATCCCCTAGAAATTAACCTCTACTAAAATTTTAATTTTTTTTAGTAATATACTTTTGGAAAAATTACAAAAATATTACCGCTTCTTTTTTGTTTCGATTTCAATTAAATCAGTGTCAAATGTACGAGTTAAAATCTTTTATTTTACTAGTGTTACTTCCACATTTTCTCTATATTCCATTATCTCTACATTTTCTCTACACCATCAACTATTCATTTCACAATCTTAAAAGACTAATAGTAACTAATGATTTATGAGGGGTAGTATTTTAAGTTTTAAATTTTAATTAAAAAAAAAAGAAAAGAAAATTGTTGCGGACAGATTCATAATAAAATGGGAAGCAACAAAATGTAAAGTATAAATGAGAAATTATGATATAAGAGTTTAAGGTTGCATTTAAATATGAATGGGGTAAATTAAAGTAAAACTGGACAGGATGTATATAAAGTTAGAAAAATTGTAAACCTTGTTATTCTTATCCGGTTATTTTCTGGGTTGTCTCCTTGAATGAACCTTAGGTAGGTGTGGAGTTGATAAATATTATTAGGTTAAACCTCTTCAGAAGTCAATATTTATGTGGGTTTTTTTCAGTTAGGACCTCGTCTTATTGGTTTTGCCAATTTAATTCTTTTTAATGAAAAATTGACTCAATTGAACCCCTGTCGTTAAATTGGCTTAACGAGTTAAGTTTTTCATGACTTGGCACATTGATAACGGTTGAATTTATCGTTATTTGATACTTAATTTTGATACTAAAAGCACCCTTTTTGACTTAGAAACTAGGTTGGAATCATACTTTTGATGAATAAGAGCGTTGAAGGTGAATTTAATGGTTTTGTGCTAGATTTCCTAGTTTTCAACAAAAATTGAGATGATTTGGAAGAAGGATTGAAGTAGTAAGGAGTTGGAACTTAGGAAAAACTAGAAAAGTATCAGAAAAGAGGATCGTAGCAACGCTAAGCGCCACTTTAGGGGCCCTCAGCGCTAGAGTACACTGTCTCATGCTTGCCTGCCCTTTTCTAGAGCCCTCAGCGCAGGATACCCCTGGCTCGCGCTTGGGCACCTTTTTCAGGGGCACTGAGTGCCACTTCCCCGAGTCGCACCACGCATGCTTGCCTTCTGAGTTGACCCTGAGTGCTAGTTTTGACCGCACACCGCCCGGGCGCCCTAAGTGGGACGCTGAGCGCTAGTCTTATGGGCTTGGACCCGTTTTCTATTATTTTTATGTTCTATTTAAGGACTACCGCCTCTTCTTCAAATCCCATACTTTGTATCTTCTTCAATAATCTTCTTAAATATCCTAGACGAGGAGTCCCAACAACTTCTGCATACTCCAAATACTACACGGATTGCAAAAACAAAATATTGCAGACCTCTGCCTAAAATTTGATTATCATTTGACATGTTCGCAAACAGAAAACAAAATTGAAATGAGAAAAGGAATCAAGATTGATTCACCTTGGCGGGAAAAATATAATCGATCAAGTCTTGAAGTTTCTCTTGGGAATTGGCCTTATACCAGCAATTCCACCAATCAACACTGAAATAGTCCATCACACAAGCTTTTTTTTTTCTCGTCGAGAATAAAAGAGACAGACAAATTTCTAGATTTTACTTTACCAAAATAAAGAATTTACTTTACCAAATTTTTCATTTTTTCCGGTTTTCCCCCTACGACATACCATCCGAAATGCCTTTGAGAACTGCAAGAAGAAATAATATCCATCAAAACAGAACCACAAAACTTATAAAATGTCTGCCCCTAATGGAAGTTGAACAATAATAGACCCGATTCAGATACTAATTCAACCTATTAAAAATACAAACAAATTGCTTGTAGATTTTGGATATCCACTTCAACGATATACTAATTTCTTAAATCAATTATATGTATATATCGAGCAGCGGACATTGTTATATCCTAGGCACGAAAAGAGAGGGAATTTGAAGTAAATCTCTCAACTTGGAAGAATCGAAAGCTGAAAAAAGAAAAGAAAAGAAGAAAATAGATCTCGGAAGCGGTCGATGGTGAAGCACTCAAACTCCTCAAGTCTAACTTCGAGTAAGGGAGTAGAGCGATAAAGGGGAATTGTGGGAACATAAACGGCGTCGGAGGAGGAAGACAAGAAGTTACTCCGACTCCACTTCAATCTTGAATCTAATTTGATTTTAATAAACCCTAATTTGATGGTGCTTAATTTCATATTTTATAAACTTTTTGAGCTAGGGTTGAAGATGATGAAAGGTAAGGTTGAAGATGATGAAAGGTAAAGTTGAAGATGATGAACCCTAGTTTGGGTTTCAATTCTCAGAAATTTTTTTAATTATATATTTCACGTATAAAGTTGTGAGTGCCACATTTAAAAACCTATCCACGTCAATGTCCCAGGTCATGAAAAACTTAACCCCATTAAGCCAATTTAACGGTGGGGCCCAATTGAGTCAATTTTTCATTAAAAAGGATTAAATTGGTGAAACCAATAAGACGGGGTCCTAACTAGAAAAAACCCACATAAATAGGAACTTCCGAAAGGGTTTAACCATACTATTATGTTAAAAGTTGTTACAGATCAGTGATGACCGAAGTGTATCATTTGCATAATGAATGTGGTCTAGCTTGTGAGGTTTCTAGTGCAAGTTATGTTATGTTATATATAGTGTTAGGATAATAGTTTCACTTTCCTTCGCATATAAGTGTTTTACTACTTTATTATTTTCTTATCAGTGATGGTCGTTCAACGACTTTGTGATTTATGCGACACATTCTTTTTACTTCAGTTTGCAATGATTATGATCTCAACATCGCAACCTATGTTATTCATACTAGGCGACAGTGGTTTATTAAAGAACTCGTCGTTCACTGTCTGGCTAAGTTGACAGTGATTCCTTTTGGAACTCTCCTTTCATCAACTTTAGTGTTCTCTATACTGGGTGACAGTGGTTCATTTTGAAGAACTCGTCGTTCACCGTCCGACTAAGTTGATAGTGGTTCCTTTTGGGAACTCTCCGTTCATGAAGTTTAGTGTTATATGTACCGAGCGTTTATGGTTCATTTGAAGAACTTTCAATTCACCATCCGGTTAAGTTTACAGTGGTTCATTTTGGAACTCTCCGTTCATCAACTTTAGTGTTATATGTACCAGGTGGCAGTGGTTCATTTGAAGAACTCGTCGTTTACCACCCGACTAAGTTGACACTGGCTCCTTTTGGGAACTCTCCATTCATAAACTTGGATTTTTTCGGGACCGGGCGACAGTGATTACTTTGAAGAACTCGTCGTTCATCGCTTGACCAAGTTGACAGTTGTTCCTTTTGGGAACTCCGTCCATCAACTTGATTTTCATTTGCTCATTATCCGTTCGTTGTTAGTAATGGTCGTGCAACATTGCCATTGGCGGAATGTTGAGTACATTATATTAACTTTTAACAAGAAAAGAAAATACAATGAATACTTATTCAACTAAAATAAAACTTTAAGTGTGAAGCATTCTAGATGTTGGGGATGCGGTCGTCCGAATGGGCTAGGCGATAAGTGTGAAGCATTCTAGATGTCGATGAATTGTCGATCGTTGTCTGTCACAATCTTTTGGGGGAGCCTGAATCGATAGACCAATTTCAAGACAAACTTCTGCACCTGTTTGGTCATGATTGTCACCAAGGCTTCCACCTCCACCCACTTGGTAAAATAGTCGATGGCGACGAGGAGGAACTTCTTTTAGGCCCGTCCGGGTGGGAAAAGGCCGACAATGTCCTTTCCCCACTAGTAAACAACCAAGGAGAGACCATGCTATGCAAACGGCTTGAGGGGCCGGTGTATACATCATTAGCGTGGGCTTGGCAGGCTGGGCACTTCTACATGATTTGTTTAACATCTTCTTCCATGGTAGGCAAGTAATAGTCGGCCTTGATAGTCCTAGCTTTCAGATTCTGTCGTATAGTATGAAAGTCGCAGACTCCGTTGTGTAGCTCATCCAACATGTATTGTGCCTTGAGCTCTGAAAGGCATTTGAGGAGAGGGGTGGAGAATCCCCTTCTGTAGAGATCCTCGCTTATGATGATGTATTGAGCGATCTTTCGCGCGTCTGCTGGGTGAATTAATTGTTTGGCGCCCTATTGTTTCATAAGTCGTACGATCTCTTGTTTCCAATTATTGCCGTCTATGATAGGTGCTGCTAGGTATTCTACCGAAGGCCCTGTCAACACCCGCCGGATGACAGCGGTGAGTTTTCCCTTCTCCTTGCCACTAGAAAGTTAAGAAAGCATGTCCACCCGAGAATTTTCTTCGCAAGGGATGTTCTTGATTTCAATCTTTTCAAAGTCTTTCGTTAGGGCGGAGGCTTTGTGGAAATATCGCAGGAGGTGGTCGTCCTTGATCTAGAAGTCAGTATTCATCTGTCCCACCACTAACTGTGAATCCGTTCGACATGTCACCCATCGTACGCCTATGTCCTTTGCAAGTTCTAATCCCGCCACTAGTGCTTCGTACTTCACCTGATTGTTTGAGGTTTTGAATTTGAACACCAAGGAGTGCTCCAAGAGGAATTCGTTGGGTCCTTCTAGTACAACCCCGACACCGTCACCCGCTTAACCAGACGCCCCATCCACAAACAAGTTCCACTCAAAATTGGGAGTGGTTTGGGGTAAGTCCACTTTGAAGTCTGCTGTAAGATCCTTGAAAATATTTGTAAGTCAGATACTTAAAAAAAAAGTAAATAGTGAATAGTAAATTGTGAATAGTAAAAAGGGAATAAAAAAAAATAATAAAATAAAATAAAAACATTTTTGGAAAGGATAAGTGTTCCACGTAGCTTTGAGATCAGAATTAATCAATTTGCAAATAAAAAA